TGCTTGCTCCATGGCACCTCTGACCACGGGTTGTCCCCGTATATCTGCCCTTGACGCTGTGGTGGCTTTCCGCTGACTCTGTCTGCCATCCCACAGCACTCACACAGCCCATAGCCTGCCTGCCTGCCTGCCTGTCTGTCATCGCTCACTTTTCTACTGGAGCAGCCCACCTTCTCCTCAGGTGTCCATGCACTCGACGGCAGCTCTCAGACCAAGGCAAAGGCTTTCCTGAAGTTGAGTCGCTCTTGTGTGAGCTCCGTCCTTGTCATCAAAGACAGTGACTCTGCCTTGGTCAGCACCAAGGGAGGAGCTCCCTGTCACAAACACCTGAAGCCAGCGGTGAGCACATTTGCTCCCGGCATGCACCATTCCCTCGAACCTACTTTTGGAGCCCACCTGCCCAGAAGCTGCCAGTCCTCGAGACAGCAGGTGATACCATTAGGCAAGGAGCACCATTTGTGGAGTTTGGTAGCTAGCTATTGTTAGCAGCTAACAGATTTAGTAGCTATTTTGAGATCACAGATTTACATGTAACAGGTAACTTCCTGGTGCTTCAGAGGAATGAGGCCACAAGAGAAGAGAGTGTTTCTTCTGTGGCTAAGTGCTAAGTTCCACCTCATCCCCCTTTGGGGCTCCCTCCCATGATGGAGGAGACGTTAGCCAGCACGGGACAACTCTGAGAGGTCCTGCCAAGCAGGACGGCTTTGAACACAGACCCAGCAGAAGCCTGGTGACTCAGCTGTCCAAGGACCAGCCTAGGTAAGGAGAGATCTAGCCTCCAGGAGAGAAGCTAGTGCACAATAACCCCTGGGAATGCTCCAGATGAGATGTGGAGGGCCTGTGGCTGGCATCAGGAGAGGGAACGCCCCCCTGGGACCTCAATCTAGAGTTGGAAGGCTCTCAGAGGTCATCTCACCCAACTCCCTAGTTTTACAGATGAGAAAACTGAGACCCAGAGATGAGAAGTACCTTACCCGCAATCACATACAGGGTCAGAGACTTCGAGGCCTTCAGAAGTCATTTGGTCAAACCCCCAACCTTAGTGCGAAGGACACCAATCCCAGAGAGGGGAAGGGCCTCGTCCACAGTCACAAAGGGACGGAGTGGAGGAGACTGGATTTGAAGTGAGTTCCTCTGACTCTAAGCCTGGTGCTTTGTTCATTGGTCTACATAAAGCCAGAAAACCTCACTAGTTGTGTGGCTCTGGACAAGTCACAGAAATCTCATTAGCCTCAGCTTCCTCCGCAGACAAACGAGGATTACAGCCACCCCCCAAGGCCATTGTGAGGATTAACTAGGAAGGGATGTGTAAAGTGCTTTGCAAACCTTAAATGGACACCCACCCACACACCCACACACATTTATGTGCTGCTCTTCCTAGGATCATTGAATTGTGATCCTAGGGAAGTGGTTCCTCTCTATGCACTTCAGTTTCCTCCTATGTACAACCAACTTTGTGAGCCAACACGTGTCCTCAGCCCCAGATCGTCTCCATTAGTCAGTTGATAAGCACTTATTCAGCACTTACCATGTGCCAGGCACTATGCTATGTGCTAGAGATACAAAGAAAAGCAGAAGATAGGTCCTGCCCTCAAGGGGCTCAGAGTCAAATGTGGACCACACCAGGCAAACAAGCAGGCACAGGGAAGGCCTAGCTCAGAGGGGGATTGGGAAAGGACTCTGGTAGAAGCCAGGCTTGATATCTCTGGTTTTTCACCCAGTCCTCCATGCTAGACTCCAGTGACCCCGCTGGCCTACAAGGTATGTGGTAGAATGGAGAATGACGGCTGTGAGGAGCTCACGCTCGGCATGTGGCCCTGGCAGCTGCGGTGGCTGTGGGGGGACAGATAAGAGAGCTCAGCAGACTGGTCTGCGAGGTCCCTCCCAACAGTGAACTGGAGCATCTGTACCTTTCCAGGAGAGGGACCGAGGGGCTACTGGGCAGCCACATGCACTGCCCTGGGACATGAGTGCTCACACTGAGGGGTGACGTTGGCAGCCAGGTAAGCCTGGGCGTCCCAAGCTTTCCTATCCCATTCATTTCCTGGGCACTGCCGCAGTGTTCAGTTACCTCTGCTCTGAATCCCTGCATCACTTGGCTCGCTCGCCATCTTGGAAGGTCGAGTCTCTGGCTCCCTTTGCCTGGGGTCCCTGGATCTGATGAGAAAAGTGTAGGGTCCTCCCAAGAGGGGCCCAGGCCCAGGTCTCTCCCTTTCCCAACAGGCTGCTCTCTTCTGGCCTCCTCTGCCAAGCCCTGATTTCAGTTACTCTAGCCCTCACTGTAGCTTCCTTGTATGTACTGTCGTCCCCATTCCAACAGAAGCTCTTAGAGGGCAAGAACTTTCCTTTGGCTTGGATTTGTATTCCCAGCCCTTAGCACAGTGCCTGGGACACAGTAAGTGCTTAATAAATGCTTGCTGACAGGCCCACTGACTGGGTAAAAGGAGACAGGTCATAATAGCTAGCATTTCTATAGCGCTTTAAAGTTGGAAAGCTTTACATGTTACCTCATTTGATCCCCACAACAACCCAGGGAGATAGGAGCTATCATTATTCTTATTTTACAGAGTAGGAAACTGAGGCAGACAGAGGTAATGTGACCTGCCCAGGATCCCACAGCTAGGAAGTGTCTGAGGCTGGATTTGAACTAGGGTTTTCCTGACTGTAGAGCCAGTGCTCTGTGCCCTATGGTGCCCCCTAGCAGCCTCTCCATCAGTGGGGGTTTAGTACTGTGATATATTGAAAGAACTAAGGTGCTTAGATTGAGATCTAGAAGCCAATTCCTTCATTTTACAGAGGAGGAAACAAAGTAAACTGAGGCCCGAGTCACAGTTGAGTAAATTTGTCCAAGGTCTCAGAGAGAGGAAGAGTGGCGGAAAGACTCAAAGCCGATTGCCTGAATCCAGTGCTGTATCTCCCCTGTTAGCCTGCCCCTACAGCTCCTTGGACCTGTGTCCCCCTGCCACTTGGGACACATCAAGAGACACACTGTGCAAAACGTGTGGAAGTGCCATTAGCACACCAGGGGTGGAGAGACCAAGGCTGAGAAACTTGCTAATAACTAACAAGTGTTAATAATTAATGGATGTTAATTATTAGCTATTATTGTGGCCTTTTAAGATCTACAAAGCACTTTAGAAATATGATTTCACTTCATCCTCCTAACAAGCCTAGGAAGTAAGTGCTATTAGCATCCCCATTTTACAGATGAAAAACTTGAGGCTGAGAGATTCAGCATCTGGGCGGAGCTGGGACACAAGCTGCTGGGGGAGAGAAGTCCCCACCCACAGCTGGCGGTTCCCACCTGGCCCAAGTCTCTGCTTTTCTAGAGTCTCAGTGAAGTGAGTTGGGCTCTATCCAGAAAAGCACGCATTCAGGAAAAGAGTTTGGCTTTTACATCAGCACTTTAATAACTGTGGCTTGCTCTATTCAGACATAAAGCATCCAGAATCATGTTCTACCTTTAAAATGTGCAAATACTGTTAACGGCCACCAGGGAATCCTGATCATGAATCAAGGGCAGTCTGTACCCAGGCCCAGGGGCACCGTGCATTTTTATATATGCACACACATACATACATGTTATGTATATGTATAAAACACACATATGAATATATACGTGTGTGTGCATTTAAGTATGCATGTATGTACACGCATGTTCTCCATTCCTCCTCACCTCCTCTGCTCAAGCTCTACACAGCAAGAACCACGGCCCACAGAGAAGCCTCATTAATCCCCGGGCCCTTCTCTAAACAGCTGCCGCGCCACAGGGCACAGTGGGGAGCCAGCTACTGCCCGCGGACAGAACCACTGGGAAGAGGAATAGTACCACCAAGGAACCAGGACAGGAACGTCGTCCACGTGCGTCCTTATTATGCTTTTGTAAAACGAGTGTGTTGGAAAAGAGGAGCTCCAAGGTCCCTTCCAGGTCTAACTCTGAAATCCTACGGCCCATTACCTATGGGAGCTTGGACGAGTCACAGAACTTCCCTGGTCACGATGGAACAGCTCGAGGGCTGAACAGACCTGGTCAAGTCCACCCTCCTCATCCAGGACCCATGGAGGTTGTGTTGGAGGAAAGAGCAGCACAGAAAAGAAAGAGCTTAGGAGAGCAAGTGCAAACTCTTGCCCAAGTGAAGGACTGTCTGAAAAACCCAAGAGGCTGAACCGAAATCAGAGTGCATGCGTCCCCTCAGCTCCTCCCAGAACCCCCACTGCAGGAAGCCGCCCAGGCCGCTGCGCCCGTTCCTCCCGGGCTGTGCTCTCAACATCCTCCCTCATGCCCATCTCCTTTTCCTGAAGCCTCACTCCAGAGCCCCAGTCCCCCACTGGAAGTTCCCTCCGTCCCATGGCCTCTTCCTCAGGAGCAGATGCACAAACAGAAACACAAGCCCACCCAGAACATCGAGGCTCACAGCCCAAACGACCTGTTTGACATCATCGGGCCCAACCTCCTATTTTTACATCTCACAGACATACCTCGACCAGCTGTTTCCAGGCACTCCCCCCTACTCCCCAAAGTCAGTAGCCCCCAAACTCTGCCATAGCAGGGGGATGAATCACCCTTGCCCACAAGCACACCCAACTTTAGAGTGAGGATAGTGCATTTTTCAGCCAGGTTCTTTCTCTTCAATTACAACTTCCATTCATCTCTTAGTAATAGCTGTTATTCCTCCTTAGGGGAAGAAATGAGAAGGTGACTGAATACAGCATTTACCCACATGTAGAGCTTACGAGCTCTGCAAACAAAACCTGTGGAGAACAAAATCAACCAGCAGCAATAGCCTGGGAGGTCCAGAGGGACAAGTCCTCCACACGAAGGCTCTCGGGGAAAGCTTATGCCACCCCCCAACCAAGAGAAAGAAGATGCAGAATACCAACATCACGCCAAGAGGCAGGCTGGTAGGACAACAGCGGGGCAACTACCCCAAACGTGGCACATTCTGCCCTGAGGGTTACTGACGTGGACCAAGAAAAGATGGTTTGAGCCTGGAACTCACCATTTGGGGCGGCTGGTAGACTTCACCATCGGGGTCATCCCATCTCTGTAGAGACTTTTGGTCTTGCTGAAGTTAACGATGTTGAAAATCACCCTCTGAGAGAGAAAGAGAGAGGGGAAATGGATCCGATTAGAATGCTGTCTTGAGCAGAGAACAGCTAATGAGGCACTAACAAAGCCACCCTGTGTGCCTTTAGCCATCTAGCTGCCCTTTCCAGCTCATGGGGACGGGCCAACCTGCCCCTGGTTTTTGGGGCCTTGCCAAAGATAGCCAGGACTCTACCACCAAGTCCTCAAAGGTGCCCAACTTAATCCAATAGGTAATGATGAGCTGGGGTTTGAATCCTGTATCTGCGATTGACTGGCTCTGTGAGTGCAGGAAAAGAACACTTCTGGGGAAGACGATAGCAACGTACATGTTTCTGAAGGGCTGTCCTGAGGGTGAGTGTGAGACTTGTCCCACTTGGTCCCAGAAACCTACACATGTCAGGCCCCAAGAGCGCGAATAAGGATCCCCCAAAGTGTTCACATTATTTGAATTGCAGGGTGCATTTCCATTGGGCTGAAACCATGACCACATTTTACATCATTATAACTCCAAATAGTGGGAATTCTAATTCAGGGGACCACTTTATGAGATTCTTTATTTGCCTTAATTAGGACCTAGCTGTACAAAGAGTGATTGGGGAACATCACAGAGGAGCGGGAAAAACTTCCTAACAATGTGAACTGTCCACTTTTCTGGATGCTGACCTGCCAGGGAGGTTCTGGAGCAGGAGTTCTTTGCCTTTTTGTGTGTCATGGACCCCCACATCCTCTCTTTGGTAGTCTGATGAAACCTACTGATTCCTTCTTAGAACCATGCTGTTGCTTTTTTATACAGAAAATAAAATACATAGGATTGCAAAGAAAACTATTATAATGAAAGGTAGTTATCAAAAATCTATGTACGTTTTGTGTGTGTGTATATATATATATATATATATATATATATATATATATATATACACACATATACACACATGTGTATACTCACACACACAGACACACAGTTTACTAGACCCTGCCCCCCAACCAATTCTCCACTCTGGTAGAAAAAGAACTTTGGTAAACACAATCTCTCAATCTCTCAATCTCTCTCTCTCTCTTTCTCTCTCCTTAAACTACTTAGAATTTACTCACCTGTTTACATATGGTAACCCTTCCTCTGTCCCCTAGTTGACTGTAAGCTCTTTGAGGGCAGGGACTTTTTGTGTCTTAGCCTAGCACAGTGCCTTAAACATAGTAGGCATTAAATATGTGAGTGTAGATTGAACTGAACATCCACATAACAGAATTTCTTTGTGACAACCATTTCCTGAGTTAGAGCCAGGTTTAGAATCTGTTTCCAGAATTCCTCGTCCCTCTAATCCTTCTGTCCACGTGACCTGCAGTGTCTATACACTCTTATCACAAAACCGCATCTGTTCTGACATGTTCTCTTTCATTCTTCCTGATTCTCTTTTGTGGATTTCCTTCAGAAGGATATATCTGTGAAATGAAAGGGCCCATTCCAGCTCTGACATACCATGGGTCTATCTATAATCACAATCTCCTCCCACCCCAATGCTACTAATAGCATTTTCATGAGTAATTAATTGAACAATATTTGGGGGGTATATAATTTTGTATTTTTATCTGCATTATAGGTTACCAGGGTCAAATAACTTAGCTTAATAAAAAACTGGCTGAATTAAAGAATGTTTTATCCTTCATCCTAATAGAATGATGCACAGACCAGTAAAATTCCCTAAAACAACCAGTTTCCTCCATTACAAGCAGTGAGTCATCAACACCTAACATCACCTTCCTCAGGGTGGGGGGATGAAGCTGCATGAGGCAGGGAAAGAGGAAGTGGGCAGGACAAAATGCCCCCAGAGGAGGCCTGAGCTGGAGGGCCACAGAGGGGAGGGGTGGACGGCTTGAGCCTCCTCGTTTCTAAAAGAGGGTGAAGGATGCCAAAAACTTGGAAAGTATCACTCCCTTATTATTACCAAAAAGGCAACTGAGAAACCACTACCTACACATTGTCATGCCACTTGTCCAGCCATACGGTGGTAGTCTATGAGAATGAGCTGTGCCTGTATTGAGGACGTCCTTGATTAGGGAACGCGAAGGGAACAGACGGGTGTTAAAAAAATGATATTCTGCAGGACACCACTTCTACACAGTTCCACAACAGGCCTGAAGGGACAGAAGAGGCAAGATCCCATGGTGCCTACTGTTTGTGCACTACAAAAAGTGTTTGATTCAGTTGAGCAAAATGTGTATCCTGAAACCTCTACACACCTCTTAAGGCAAGAGGGCAAAGTGGAAATGGAAAGAATCCACCACTGACCTCCTGAAACAAACTCCAAAATAAAAACTCCAAGAAACGTCATGGCCAAAATCTAGAGCTTCAGGTCAAAGAAAAAATACTGCAAGCAGCCAAAACAGAAAGGATTCAAATGCTGAGCAGCCACAGTCAGGACTACACACCACTTAGAAGCCACCACTATTCAAGAGTGGAGAGCGTGGAATATGATATTCCAGCAGGCAAAGGATATGGGCTTACAAGAATAACCTACCCAGCAAGGGTGATAATACTGCCTTCCTATCCAGCTAAAATCCCATCTCCCACAAGAAGCCTTTCCAGAAACTCTTCATTCTTGTGCGTTCCCTCTGTGGTGGATGTCAGATTTATCCCTGTGTAGCTTGTTTGTACATAGTTGTTTACGTGTTGTCTCCCTCGTTAGAATATGAGCTCCCTGAGGGCAGGAACCGTCTTTTGTTTTTCTTTGTATCCCCAGTACTTGGGACAGTCCCCGGTACATAGTAGGCACTTAAATATTTATTGAATGAATGACTACAGGAAAAATTCCAGATTTTAGTGAAAAAGAGGACTTCAAGGAATTATTGATGAAAAGATCAGATGATAAATCCAAAGATCCAAGCTTTGGGGGTAAGAACTAAAGTAGTTTGGCAGAAACTAGGCATATCCCATCATTTCACACCACTTACCAAGATAGGTCAAAATGGATAAATGATTTAGATATAAAGGGTGATACCATAAGTAAATTAGGGGAGCATGGAAAAATGTACCTGTCAGATCTATGGATAAGGCAAGAGTTTATGACCAAACAAGAGATAGAGAGCATCACAGGATGTAAAATGGATAATTTTGATTACATGAAATTAAAAAGCTTCTGCACAAATTAAACTAATGCAACCAAAATTAGAAGGAAGACAGAAAACTGGGGAAAATTTTTACAGCAAATTTCTCTGATAAAGGCTTCATTTCTCAAATATATAGAGAACTGAGCCAAATTTATAAAAATAAGAGCCATTCCCCAGTTGATAAATTGTCAAAGGATGTGAACAGGAAGTTTTCAGAAGAAGAAATTAAAGCTATCAATAGTCACATAAAAATACTCTAAATCACTACTAATTAGAGAAATACAAATGAAAACAACTCTTAACTACCCATTATATTGGCTAACATGACAAAAAAGGAAAATGACAAATTCTGAAGGGGATGTAGGAAAATTGGGACACTAAATGCATTGTTTGTGGAGTTGCGAACTGGTTCAACCATTCTGGAGAACAATATGGAACTATGCCAAAAGGGCTGTAAAACTGTGCATACCCTTTGATCCAGCAATATCACTACTAGGTCTGTATCCTAAAAAGATCAAAGAAAATGGAAAAGTATCCACATGTACAAAAATATTTAGAGCAGTTCTTTTTGTGGTGGCAAAGAATTAGGAATTGAGGGAATGGTCAAACAAGTTGTGGTATATGATTGTGAGGGAATACTATTGTGTTATGATGAGCAGAATGGTTTCAGAAAAACCTGGGAAGACTTGTATGGATTAATACAAACTGATGTGAGCAAAACCAGATCACCGTACACAGTAATAGCAATATTGTAATGATGATCAACTGTGAAAGACATTTTGCTACTCTGATCAAGAGAATGATCCAAGGCAATTCTAAAGAATTCATGATTAAAAATGCTAACTACCTCCATAGAGAGGAATGATGAACTCTGAGTACAGATTGAAGCATATTTTTTAACTCTCTTTATTTTTCTTGGTTTATTTTGTTTTCTTGCAACATAGCCAATACGGAAATATGTTTTGCATGACTTCACATGTATAATCGATATAAAATTGCTTGCCTTCTCAAAGAGAGAGAAGTGAAGGGAGAAAGGGAGAGAATTTTGAACTCAAAATTTTTTAAAAAAGATTAATTTTTTTACATGTAATTGGAAAATATTTAGCAAAATAAATAAAATAATTCTTTAAAAAAAGACCAGATATATGTAAAAACTTTAAAGTGCAAACACAGGAGTAAAGAGAAACATTAAAAAGGTAAATATGAATGAACAATCATATGGGATTAAACAAGATTAAACTGCTTACATACTAATATGGGGAGGTGATCCAAGTGTCCACTTTGAATTATTATCATCAGAGATTATAAGGGAAGTCTAATTAGGCAGAAGGCATGGGAAAGATTCTATTATATCTTTATGATATTAAAAGAAAAATCGGAAGGGAGGGGAAGAGAAATACACTTCAGGGGTGGGGAAAAGTAAGAGAATGGAAAGAAAGCTTAAGGGAAATTATCTCACATAACCAGCATATACATGTAGAAGTCTATGCAAACAAAGAGAAAGGGTGGAGGGCACAGCTGACACTTGAAACTTACTCTCATCTGAACTGGTTAAAAGAGGGAATAATACACACATAGAATTTGGAACAGAAATTCATTTCACTCAACAGGGAAACTGAGGGGGAGGGGGAGAAGGGAGAATTAAAAGGAGGGTAGATTAAGGGAGGAATTAGTTCCAAGCAAAACAAATTCTACCTAAGGTTATACAAAAATATTTATAGCTCTTTTCGTGGTGACAAAAAATTGGAAAATGAAGGGGTGCCTATCAGTTGGGGAATGACTGACAAGTTACGGTATACACAGTCTGTTCTATAACCTATGTTTCAAGACTGAGAATTTGTTCCACCTTAATTGACATACTGGGAACATCTAGAGCATAATTTGAATTTCTAGTTTGCTCC